AGTAGAAAAATAGGCTCCAACGTGTGAGAGTTGATTGTGGGTGATTGGCATATGTTGTGGGATTTGATTAAAACTAGATCTACTGAACGACCTAACAATGATGTTCATCACTTGAACGTCGCTGTTGAGGCTTAAACTTTTGAATTGGAAGCTTTAACGGTCATGTCAACAGCGATGTTGAGAATGTGAACATCGCTGTTCAAGGTGTTGACTTCCAAACTTGGCAAATTTTAGCCTTTAATTTCTTCCAATGGTCAGGTGCCTACATCGATGTTCATAAGTGAACATCGTTGTTCAGGCTGATCTTCCCAAGGAAGAAATTGGCCTGACATCGATGTTACTTGGCCAACATCGCTGTTCAAAAACAATATGCCAAACTCATTTCTCTTGGCTTGAGTTGAACATCGCTGTAGAGTAGCCTACATCGTTGTTCAAAAAGCTTCTGGAATTTCAAGCTTGGCTCAACAGCGATGTAGAATAACCAGCATCTCTGTTGGAGGACTTAGTGCCAAACAATGGTTTTCAGGTGCTAACACCAAACAGCGCTGTTGGTCACTCCAACATCGCTGTTGGGCTGGTTTGCCAGAAACCATGGCTAGCCAGTCAACATCAAAAGCCGATGTCAAAAATCAAAGTTCTCCAAATTTAAAATCAAGTGTTGAAAACACTTACTTAATGTATTCTACTAAGAAACCAAGTGAAATATCTTAAAAACCACGTCATTTAGGTAAAAACACGGCTAACCAAGGTTATACCGTTTCACATGGTTTTTACCAAAAGACCAAAAACGAAAGGTGATTTTTGAAGCGTTTTGGTTGGAGAACTATTTAAAATGTGCCTAGAAGTAAAAACCAATCATAAAAGGTTAAAAACCACTTGGTTGATGCGGACGCCAAAACACTTGGTTGGTGCGGACGCCAAAAACCAACGTCGATGACTGAATGCCGAACGACGGTTTCTGAAAACCGAAAGCCGGTTTCTGAAAGCCGAACGCTGGATGGTTTGGTTTTTGGTTTGGGAGAATTTAAATTGTTTTAGGCTTATTAAAACTTATGAAAATGACTTTGATGATGCATGAAAAGTATTTGAATATATTTAGCATAGAGAGCCAAATTGTAAAGTCAATGCCGGTCTTGATCACA